CACTGACACTGACACTGACACTAACACTAACACAAACACTAACACTAAGACTAAGACTAAGACTAAGACTAAGACTAAGACTAAGACTAAGACTAACACTAACACTAACACTAACACTAACACTAACACTAACACTAACACTAACACTAGCACTAACACTAACACTAACACTAACACTAACACTAACACTAGCACTACTACTCCTACTACTCCTACTCCAACTGCTACTGACTGCTACTCCTACTGCCATTCTTACTGTTACTCACTCTTGCTCCTCCTCCTTCTGCTGCCAGCTGCTAGTACTGCTACTGCTACTGCTACTGCTAGTACTTGTCGTTGCAATTGCATGTTTCTTTTTGCTTATTCTCGTTCACATTGCTTGTGGCTTTGAGGGTGTATGGCTTGGTATAGGACCCTAAACCCTAAACCCTAAACCCTATGTTCTTATGTTTCGGGTTCTTGCATCCAACCGATCTTCAGAGTGCAGGGATCCACCATAACCTGTTCTCGGCGTACGTCGGCGAGAGAAACAGGCTTTAGGAACCTAAGGGTAAGGCATACGAAGATGTAGCTGATGCCAGCATGCTTGTTAAGCGCCAGCACACATATGTCACCTGTTTTTCGGCGCTGTGCGAAGAAAGTCCGCTGAGACTGATCATTGGTCATGGTGATGATAACGATGATGTAGGTGGATGATGGCAAAACGAGGCGGATGTATAACACTCACACGAAGATGGTGCTGATTCATGAATGATGAGAACTCCATTGAACATATAAACATACATAGATGTTAGCTTTTTCCGGATGCTTGTACAACGACACATGCTTATAACATGATGGAACCCTGATAGACCTGATATGACCTGATAGAGCCATGATAGAACTCTTATCTTAGACCCTGACAGAGCGCCCTTATAGCACCCTACTTGCAGAGCCCTTGTAGATCCCTTGCAGAGCTATTATGAAATCCTTTTGTTTTAGAGTCCTCCCTTACAGAGTAGTTGAAGCCCTTATTCACAACCCTGACTAGAGAACCTCAAAACAGCCCTTCCTTGTAGAATCCTTCTAGAAACCCTTACAGTTTCAGTATGGTACTGGAAAGGTGGACATTTTAAGGTGACCATCCGCAATACCTGGTGAACCGTGTGCATGTAAAGAAAGTGGTTAAAACACTACTAGATACGACTGCCACAAATGCACTCCGCCAGGGCGTACCATACTGTATAGTTTACGGATCAGGGTTTAGGGGTCTAGGAGTTTAGGGTTTAGGGACTTGGGGTTAACCCCAAACCCTAAACCCAACAAAACCCGAAACACTAAACCCACAACGAAAGCCTAAACCCTAAACCCTAAACCCTGAAGCTTCACGAGGTGCTGTCGCTGTCGCCTGAGGAGGCTCCTAAGGAGCCGGAGGGAGCACGGCCCGCCACACCGGCCACAGGGGCCTCGCCCGAGGACGCGCTTCGGGTTTAGGGGTTTGGGGTTTGGGTTTTGGGGTTTAGGATTAAACCCTAAACCCTAAACCCTAAACCCGAAAACCCTGAAGAAGAAAGAGGCCCTTAGGGTTGAGGGTTTCGAGCTCTAGAGCTTTAGGGCTTTAGGGCTTTAGGGTTGTTGAGGGGTGCCACAGGTTTCTTTTTAAGGTTTAGGGGTTTAGGGTTTAGGGTTTAGGGTTTAGGGTTTAGGGTTTAGGGTTTTAAGGTTTACAGGGTTTACGTTTCAGAGTGGAGGGTTTAGTGTCCAGGTTTCATCGGCGGCTTTTCGGGTTTGGGGTTTACGGTTCAGGGGTTGAGGGTGTAGGGTTGCACTAGAAGGCGGTGTTGTTTATCCAGGTTCGCCAGGGGCGATGTTGGGTTGTACAATATAGGGGTTCGGAGGGTATTTCGCGGCTCCTCTTGTGCTGCTTTCTGAAGCTGAAGATTGTGAGGGGCAACCGAGGAAGTCGAGGACATCTCTTTGACAGCTTCCGCCGTGCAAAAGCTAATTGGGAATGCATCTACACTCGAAACCCTAAACCCTAAACCCTAAACCCTAAACCCTAAACCATTAAGCCCTAACATACACACGGAAGTACCAGAGCTCCTTGAAGGCGGCACAGGAGTCTGCGGATGAGCGTTTTCTGGCCCCTGAAAGGTCCTTGCCTTGGCTTTACACTTGTCCCCCAGCCCTGAGCACGTCAAGAACAAACCCCTAAACCCTAAACCCTACACCCCTAAGCCCTAAACCCTAAACCCTAAACCCCTAAACCCTAAACCCTAAACCCTAAACCCTAAACCCTAAACCTTAGACCGTGAGGACCCGGTAGCATCAGAAGCCCCTGAGATCGACCTGGAGGCACTGCCACGTAGATTTTTGGGTTTAGGGGGTTGAGGGCTTTAGGGCTTCAGGGACAAAACCAAAGAATAACATCCACGGATTTTAGGGTTTAGGGGGTTTAGGGGTTCAGGGTTGAGGGTTTTAGGGCTTTCGGGCTTCAGGGCTTTAGGGCTTCAGGGCTTCAGGGTTCAGGGTTGAGGGCTTTAGGGCTTCAGGGTTCAGAGTTGAGGGCTTTAGGGCTTTCGGGCTTTAGGGCTTCAGGCTTCAGGGCTTTAGGGCTTTAAGGGTTCAGGGCTTTAGGGCTTTAGGGCTCTAGGGTTGCGAAATTTAGGGCTTTAGGGCGCTTCGGGGCCGCGGGTCTTTGGGAACTAGGATGAGTGTCTAAAGCTGGATGCGCAAGTTTCCAAATAAATGTTCTTCTAAGTTTAGGGTTTACCTGTGACCCCAAACCCGTACAAAATAGCAGGTTATGACCCCTGAATTAGAAGGTAGAACCCCTAAAACGGTAGGGTTTTTGGATTCCCAGGTAGGGTTGTAGGGTTTAGGATGAACCACATCAGCTGTGGAACTTGTGCCATGGCAGCTACTGAGGGCAAAGGGTTTGGGTGAGGCTTGCACCTAGGTTTTGGAGTTGAGGGTTTCGTTTCTGGTTCGGGGTTTAGGGTCTAGAGCCATAATGTAGGGGCGTAGATAATTACCTATACTATTTTGGGGGGTTCTTATTACAACTATAATTTTACACCAAAACAATTTTCTAATTACTGAGGCCGCCTACATTACTTGGAGGGGCACGGCTTACTTCTAACCTGATCATACCCGTCGTCCTGAGCCAACCCCAATGTCCCCTGTTTGCCTTGAACAACTGGGCTATGCGCCGATTCTACAGAACAAGTTGGGCTATGCTGTGGTTGTGCGGGTGCAAACCCTAAACCCTAAACCCTAGTACGGATTCAAACCCTAAACCCTATACCCTAGTACGGATTCCCCCCTCCCGCCACCCCCCCGAATTCGGGATTTAGGGGTTTAGGCCTCAGACCTTTGGATCGCTCCGGGGGCCTTCTGGGTGAAGCCTGTGGGGGCTCTGAGGGACAGAACGGGTTTAGGGTTTGGGGTTTAGGGTTTTAGGGTTTGAAGCCGGTCTGACGATTGAAGGGATGTTTTCCTGTCTGTTGGGCGGTTTAGGGTGTCATGACTCACTGTTTCTGTTCTGGTTTGTGTGGGTCTGCTGGGAAGCTGGCAGGTCAACACCGTTCCCGATGTCGTGGAGCAAGAAGCAAAGATGTTGGAGCAGATGGCAGATGGGGGTGCTTTTGAAGGCACTCCGGAGATCACGCCTCAGCCGGGGCCGTTTATTCCTGAGCTCACGGCCGGGCCCACGTTGCTGGCCACGAAGGATGCCCAGTGCAAGCCCTGCCCATACATGAGCCCCGTCCAGCGCCGGTTGAGCCAGCCGACCCTCCTCCTGTCCCCCAACGTGCGCCCCACACGGAGCCTCATCTGTCCGTCGGCCGCGTCTCTGGCCCGATCGGTCACCTGCCCGGTACGCCACAGCCCAGTGCAAATGACCACGCGTGCACAGAGCCCCTTGCACATCCACACCACGCGCGGGCAGGGGCACAGCGTCGTGGCACCCCGCTTCATTTCCCACGAGCCACCACGGCCTTTCTGTGAGCCGATCACGCGAGCCACCTCCCCGCCCTTGCTCCGCGCCGCCTCGCCCCTCAGCGAGCTCCGCGAGCCCCCCCCCCCGGCCTGGAAGTGGCAAACCGGACCTACCGGACCTACCCCTACCTCACCAGCCTGCTGGCCCCGTCCGGCACCACAAAGCTGCCGGCCTTGCTGGGTGCTCACGAGAAGCACCTCCTAAAGGGAGCTTCAGGAGCCTCAGACAACCCCTCAAAGGTTCTTTGGCCCCAAAGAAGACTTGAAAGATCAAGGCTTAAGCCTTCAACCCTATATCTATATCTAAATACAGCTATAAATAACTAATATATATGTATATATATATATGTAATATAATCTGGTACAATCTAATATAATATAATAGAATATAATTGGTGATTTTCAGTCCTGGGGTTCTCTGGGGAAGGTCTCACCCCCAAACCTTCAGTTTCAACCTTGCTTTTCTTGACCCTGCCGGGCCGACAAGCGCCCCGGCCGGGTTTAAAACCGAGTCGTTTGGGTTCCACGTGAGAGATCAGAGGATGCAGACATGATGCTCGACGGGTTTAGGGTTTAGGGTACTTTTGGGAGTAGAATGGGGATTTGGGGTAGATTGTGCTATATTATTGGGGTATACTATAACACCATTGAGGAAGACTGCATGTAATGAGAGGATGTTACTACTAAGTATTCAGATCTCGAATCGATACTGGCTTCGGCATCTGTGCAAGGGTTCACCTAGAAGCACAGCTTACGACAATGGAGATTCGTAATTGCCTATAGCATTCCCGATTCTGATTACTACCCTGTTCTGATTCCTACGGCCCCGGATCTTGATTCAACTTTGCGGGCTTGGGGATCAGGGTTTAGGGTTTGGGGTTTAGGGTGGAGGATTTGAGGCTTCTATAGGGGGTTGGGGGTTTCAAATGGTTTCAGGTTCCGCGTCCAGGAGTTCAAAACCCTCAACCCTAAATCCTAAACCCTAAACCCGGGTTAAGGGTTTAGGGCTTGTAATGTTAGGGTGCCGCTTCTGAGTTGCCGTAAGGTCCCTGGCCATAGGCTCAGAGCTGAATTGTCTGAAACCTGTAGCGTACTTTCCCTATGGTTAACCCTTCCATCCAGTCTCAGCAAAAAGTGTCAACAACTATTATAAACCGTAGACCTAAACCAGAGTACAAACACATTAAGCCAAACACTAAAGCAATACCGTCCTAAAGCACATTGCTTTCTTCAGGTTCCTGTTGTAGAGGCGTGCCGATGGAGCCGCTGACATGCAGCCATTTTCGGTTGCTCCCTTTAAGCCTTTCAGATGCCTAAACCCTAAACCCTAAACCCATGCATGGTTAAAGGGCGGTGGCCAACAAGTGCATACACGCAAGATCCCTCTAGGGTTTAGGGTTTAGGGTTTAGGATTTTCTTCTCTTCTAGACCGTAATTCTCTTCTAGCCGCCCTAGTACCTCAAAGTTAGGAGGACCATTGTCGTTGCCTGCTCTCATGGCCAACTATGACATTGCCCTTCCATGCTCAGCAAGACGGCTCGAACAGCGCAGCCGCCCTCAGAACAGACCTTCATTTACAGAACTTAAACCCTAAACCCTAAACCCTAAGCCCTAAACCCTAAACCCTAAACCCTAAACCTTAGGCCCTAAACCCCAAACCCTCGACGGCCCGAAGCCCCTTTCAAGTCGAGCAGGAACCACCGTAAGCCCAAAACTCGGCTGAATCTTAGCCTCACCTTGCGCTTCATCCGTGGCCCTATACTATACATTCAACAGTGCAGAGCCGTCCCACAAACCCCAGGCCCCGAACGCTACCCTAAACCCTAAACCCTAAACCCTAAACCTTCATCCTAAGCCAGCCATGTCGTGCGACTTGGGTAGGTTGAAGTCCGCGCCGCGAGCTTAACCATGAGCCCGGAGAATAGGGTCGAAGTGTAGCCCCCTGGTTTAGGGTTTAGGGAATTTAGGGTTTATATAGGGTTTAGGGTTTAGGGTTTAGGGTTTAGGGTTTAGGGTAGTGTACGGGTTTAGGGAAATTCGGGGTGTATGATGTCTGTGGTGCCGGGTTTCGGGTTATTTATGTCTTCCAGGGTTTTGGAGTTTTGAGAGCTCTACGATTTTTAGACTACTTGTCTGAGTCATGTTGGTCGATGTGCGTCTGCAACTCTTCTAAAGCTTCACAGAGTCCGCGGAAAGCATAGCACATGATCCCTAAACCCTAAACCCCTAAACCCTAAACCCTAAACCCTAAACCCTAAACCCTAAGCCCTAAACCCTAAACCCTAAATCCTAAACCCTAAACCCTAAAAACGCAACACTCGCACTGAAGCCATCTTTGGATGCCAGAACAGTGCTGGAATTCGTCATCAAACCCCCATGAACGACATATACACATACGACAGATAGATAGACGGATATATGGATAGATGGATAGATGGATGGATAGGTGGATACATAGATGGATGGGTAACATCAGGTTAGATTAGGTTAGATTTTCCTTAGCTTACATCAGATTCGGTTAGGTTAGGCAGATAGATGGATAACCCTAAACCCTAAACCCTAAACCCTAAACCCTAAACCCTAAACCCTAAACCCTAAACCCTCATGATACATAGCTAGAGACCTAGACTATTCTACACCGTGAGCCCCAAACCCCAAACGCCAAAGCCTAACCCATAGTATTAATAATGAGCACATTTACAACAGCAAGAATAACATCAATAATACTAGCAATAGTAATAACAATAATGCTCATAATCACAGTAATCATTAGACTCATAATCATAGTCATAATAATCATAATATTAATGATAAGGAAAGGAAAAATCATAGCAGATAGGTCTATAGATACCAGTCCAAGGTCTGCCCTTCGCGACTGGGAGGAGGACCGAGCCAAGGCGCCTCTAGAATCCCAGAATATGGGTGGTTTCGCGGACTCTTGCAGAGGCTTTGCAGGTTTTGAGAAGAGTCTGCAGGGCTTTAGACGGATTTTGTTTGCCGGATTCGCGTCAGACCGTATAGGGTTCGTCCAGCACTGTTATTGCAAGGTTGGGGTTGGGGAGTTGGTAGGGGTTTAGTTCTCCCTAAGATGATGACCATCGTCATCAGCGAAACGCCAGCAAAGCTCGTGCCGGCTTAGGGTTTGGGGCTTTAGGGTTTAGGGTTTAGCAAAGCTCGTGCCGGAGCGAGGCGCACCGGAGCCTCAATCCCAAAACCCAGACCAGTGGCGCAAATCCCTCAGCTTGTCATCCCGCGGAAGTGGCAAGCCACATTTCACATGCCATCGGCGCAATGCCAACTCATTCAACAAAATCCCCACGAACCCTCGGCACAGTACGTGAGGTGCGATTGGCAGGCGGGCTGTGCGCATGAAAGTCCAAGCGTGCAGTACGAGGTGGGCAAACATTCAAGCCATCAGGTGAAATCAACCATCCTTGATGCGAGCAACTTTCACCCTAAACTCCCCAAGCCCTCAACCCTAAACCCTTCATAGGAACCCTCAAAGGGAACCCCCGAAAAACCCTGAAAGCCCTAAACCCCTAAACCCCTAAACCCCTAAACCCTGAACCCCTGAACCCCTAACCC